CGCTGAGGGAGCCAGCAGTGTGATAGGAGAGGCACGCATGTAGCAGATGATAAAAAGTGATAGCAAGAGAACTTTCCAGGGGGGCAGAAGTGTTTTATATCTTGGTAGGATATAGGTTTGTTTACATGGGTGTTTGCATATGCCAAAACTCAGTATGCGTATGCTTTGTGCATTTTGCTGTATATTTTCCCTAAAAATGTAGAAAATGAGAATGCTCTGGGAAGACTATGTCTATCCAGGTGTTGGCAGGGGGCAACTGTTGGGAAGTGGGCCAGAGGCAAATTAGGTTGCCCATAGGTACAATTCCACCTTTCCTTGTGTGGTGTGGTTGAAAAGTTTTCCCATGCAGGCTGTAGATCAGATGGCCTAGTAGCCTTGATGCCCAGAGCACCTGGGAACTACAGAGGAGGGGGACAGGGATTGCTGCACGTTTCAGGGGACCAATATTTCAACTGAGTGTGCAGGGTGAGCAGTTGGCAAGAGGACAGTGGACAGGGGGAGGGTGGTTTCTGAGCACTGCTCAGTGAAGTGTGGTTGCCTAGCATGGTTCAGATAGAAAGGGGTAGTACCAAGCTTTAAACTACTTCCCTTCCTCCAAGCCCTATCAGTAGGCCTCAGTGAAATTCAAGCTGGTTGGAATTATTTTTTTAAAGATTTTATTTATTTATTTGACAGACAGAGATCACAGGTAGGCAGAGAGGCAGGCAGAGAGAAAGAGGAGGAAGCAGGCTCCCTGCCGAGTAGAAAGCCCGATGCGGGGCTCGATCTCAGGACCCTGGGATCACGATTCAAGCCGAAGGTAGAGGCCCAACCCACTGAGCCACCCAGGTACCCCTGGTTGGAATACTTTTTTAAAATATAGGGGCACCTGAATGGCTCAGTCGGTTAAGCAGTTAAGCGTCTGCCTTCGGCTCAGGTCATGATCTCTGAATCCTGGGATAGAGCCCCATGTCCTCGGCATGCTCAGTGTGGGTCCACTTGGGATTTTTTTTTTTCTCCCTCTCCCTCTGTCCTCCCCCTGCTCATGTGCTCTCTCCCTCTCTCAGATATATAAAACAAAATCCTTATTTATTTATTCATCTGAGAGAGAGAGCACAAGGGGGTGAGGGACAGAAGGAGGGGAAAAGTCAGACTCCCCACTGAGTAGGAGCTCCCTCCCAGGACCTGAGCTGAGCCAAAGGTGGACGCTTAACCGACTGAGACCCCCAGACAGCCCTAAAAATTTGTTTTAAATTAATTTTATTTATTAATTTTTAAAATAAATTCTACCCCCAACATGGGTCTCAAACTCATGACCAGGACATCAAGAGTCCCAAGCTCTACTGACTGAACTCTCCAGGTGCCCCTAAGCTAGTTGGAAGTTCTTAGGGTTTTCTGTTTTTCAGATTTATTATTTATTTGAGAGAGAGAACACCTGTGCTAGCAAGCAGGAGAGGGGGGAGGGGCAGAAGGAAAGAATCACCAGCAGACTCCCCTCTAAGCATGGAGCCCAACCTGGGGCTCAATTCTATGACCCATGAAATCACCACCTGAGGAGAAACCAAGAGTCAGCCACTGAGCCACCCCAGTGCCCCTAGTTCGAAGTTTTAAAGCTGCTTCCAAGAAAGGAGAACAATGTCCTGTTACCCCCGGGTCAGGAGGCCAGGTCCATATCCTGATTGCAATGCTTTTTGTCAGCTCACATCTTTTGGGGTTTGCCGGCGGCTCCTGACTCTCCACTCAGGATCCAGGGTGGAAGTGTGGCCCCTGTGCTGACTCACTTCCTGGAGGGCCCAGCTGGCTGGTGCAAACACGGGCTGGCCTGTCTTCCTCTGGAGGGAAGGGTGGGAGGTATTGCAGGTCTAGTCCAGGCTTTGAAGCCAGACCAGCCTGGGCGAGAATCCTGGTTCGTGGCTGAACTGGCAATGTGACCCTGGACAAGTCACCCCCTCTGAGCCTCCCTGACTCTCCTCTGTCCATGAAGCCTAATGATGAGGGTAGTAGGTCTGAGGACAGAACCACATCGTGTGTAAAGCAACGGAGTCCGCAGCAGGCACTCAAGGGACAGACAGCAGCTGTGAGAGCTTGAGCGAGTCCAAGGCTCTATCATTCGACTGGGGCTGTGGACGCTGCCATCCCTGGCGGAGTTTCCCGCGCGGCCTGGCTGCTGTTAGCCTCCCCAATACCCGCTACAATTCTAGGTCCACGTGAGCATCCCTGGCTCCCGGCAAGGGACAGGGGCGAGGGACGGCTCAGCAGCGCCCCCAGCCGGTTCAGGCCTCCGGGCTCTGACTCGCCGGGGCATGCCGGGCGGCGAAGGTGGCCACCGCCACGGCCACGAGCTACCGGCGAGGCGCTGACAGGCGAGCAGCGCTCTGGGGTCTGACCCTCGGAGCCAGGCTCCGCTACAGGGGTCGGAGGTACTCTGCTGGCCCGGGGCGCCTCCTCCGGGCTCTCGCTCCCCGTCTCCTCTTGGGGCACACACACTTGCCTTATCATGTCTTCCCGCTTCCCGAAAAGAGGGGCCTTCCCGAGAGGAGAGGCGGGAGGGGGCGGATCCTTGCTAAAGAAATGCTTTATTTTATTCCATCTGTGACAAACTGGGCATTCCCTCTGGGGCAGGCTGGAGGGAGAGGAAAAATGTGAGTCTGGTTAGAAGAAAACCAA